AGAAGAGGGACGTAGGGGCCGTGATGGTTGCACAAAGGACCAAATCTCCCCTCAAATACCAAACTTACCCGACACCTCCACCATATATCAGCCAACCCCAAATTACCAAACACCTTCACCCTCATACCATGCTCCACCACCAACTTATCAGTCATCTCCACCTCTTACATATCAACCAACCTCACCCAGATACTCCCAACCCGCTCATGTTTACCAAACCTATAATGCTCAACCATCCCATTATCAATCACCTCCTGCACGCCAAAACTTCCTTAGACCTCGACCTAATTTTGATCGCAGACCTCCAAAACAATATACAACCATTGCTGAACCCATTGACCAGCTGTATGAGAGGCTCAAAGCTGCTGGTTATGTCACCCCCATCCCTGCTGCAACCCTTGAGAATCCTTTTCAGTGGGTTATCCCAAACAAATCCTGTGCGTACCACTCCGGCATGAAAGGGCACAACATCGATGAATGCCATTCCTTGAAAGACAAGATCCAGTCTTTGATTGACAACAAAATCATTGCGGCAAAGGAGCCTGCTCCAAACGTCCGCAACAACCCTCTGCCATGCCATAAGGGTGGAGGTATCCACATGATTGAAATAAAATATGACTAGGATCCCGAGGGATCAATGGGGTTGAAGGAAATTACCCCGCTCACGAAACATACATGCGACGCGGTTACACATAGATTTCTTAAGCTATTATAATATTCCTTCAATTCCTTTCAAAAATACGAAGTTCAAATGAAATCTTTTAAGATCTCAAATTCCTTAATTTCAACTCTTTTCAAGACATTTACTAAGAAAACTCAATCTCGCTTCTTCTCAAGGCAAACAACCAACATAAATCAATAACAATATCAACAAGACATGGTGTAAACCTAAAACTACCCGGACATAAGCATAGCTAATAGCTACGTATGAACTCTCGTCACCTCGTGCGGACGTAGCCCCCACAAATAGAGGCACATATTAATTTAGTTCACATATGGGGTTAATTCCCTCTTACAAGGTTAGAAAAGAGACTTACCGCGCTTTGAAATTCTTAGCCGGCTGATCACGCCCAACTATGCCTTATAAAAAGGACAAGCAGTCGTTACAAATATAATCCGAGTATTTAGCCCAGAGTCGAATCCCACAGGGAATTAACCTACCAATTACTCTTGTCAGACTTACTAAATTCTTCGTAATCAACTTTCCAGATATTGTGAATAACAATTGGAGATGTTTTTACTAACTCTAACTAAATGAAAACAAGTAAAGTAAAAGCTAACTATGACTGAGTTGTATGCAAGTAAGAGAAGAATCTAAGGTTGTGATTTCCCCTATTGATAGAATCACTTCCTGTTATGCTTCGCATAGATTTGACTAATCATCTCTATCGCTCATGAGCACTCTTATTATCGTAAATCTCTCCCGAATAATCATAACAATTTACTAGACGCACTCTCCCAAGTTATGCTAGCTAGCTTTTATTACAGCTCATTTTAGATCGCACCCAAGGTTTCGTTATCCCTAATCCCACCTTTAAACCCTCGGTTATTGATCCCTCATATACTTTGGGAGTGGTGTTGTTTAATCAATTTAACTAAATATGCACTCTCTCCCGAGTAATACAACTAAATAGGCACAGCTAATTGAGGATCCTATCAATTAACTACAACAAGAACGTAGTTGAACAAATAGAGATTAAACCGGGCAAACTATATTAATATAACACGAAGTTCATCCTTCAACAGGTTCCATCAAAACCTAGACTAAATATTTAGCTACTCATAATCGTATTCATACTAACAACAGTAAAATTCATCATAAATGGTAAAATACAAAAGGAAGAAAGGATGAACTCGATGTTGAATTATCCTCTTTGTCTCTTGCCTCTCCTTGCCTTCAACTAAGCTGTCAAAACCTTGATAATATCCCTTTGGGCGAGTTGGATCTCTTATAGGTTAAGTGGAATTACCCCCAAACTTCCAAGTTTACCCCTGAATTATATGTTCCAAATTGGACTAGCGCGGCCGCACTCGTGCCCGCGCTAATGGCCGTGCATATAGCCTAGTATTCTGTCTCGAGTTCCTGGGCTAGCGCGGTCGCGCTAGTGGGTGCGCTAATGGCTATGCTAAGCTGGTCATCATTTTAGCTCATCTTTTCTCTATTCTTTCACAGGCACTCAGCTTCGAGTGGTTTTCGTTGCTTCAATTTAGCTCCAAACATCGTCCTAAGTCCTCATAAGCGCAACTCGCTCCTGCAAAATATGAAATTCACAATTAGAGCCAATTTATCATCATTTAGCTATCCTAGAACAGTGAAATATAGTCAAGTTGGAGCATAAACAGTCACCAAATTACATGAATCTAGCCTATTATCAACACCTACACTTAAATCATTGCTAGTCCTCGAGCAATTCACCACACTCTATAAAGGTTCCTTTACTAAGCTTTTCCCCTAATGTATCACACCAAGAACAAATCGCCAAAGTTATGTCTAGTAGTGTACAATCCTTGCCTCAAAAGTTGACTCTCACGTGCCGTGCAATATTCATACTTACCTTTCCTTAGTGAATCACATGCCCTCACATCACACAAGAGAGTAGTTCCACAAATAATAATATTAAGAACAATTAGGAACTTAGATAGACAAAATTCGCTCACTCTCCGAAAGAAAATTCATAGGCCACACAGATGCACCATAGGCTTGTCCGTGTGTACTACTCTACTAATCGAGCCCATTCAATCTAAGATCAATTAGGACTTCATTTGGTTGTAATGTAGGCTAAGGGCCAGGTAGGATATATTTGGATATAGTGACTAACCTCCCTAAGCACTTTTAATACAATCACATTAGCATTCAAAACCATACTTATATCAAACCAGACATTCCACCACACTTCTCTTTATAATACCCCAACTCCATTAAGTGCAATTGTATCAAGTCACAAAACATCAAACAGACAAGTTGTTACATATACCCACAAACAGACAAGTTGTTACATACACCCCATAACCACCCGCTACCACCGGCTCCTTCCCAGTAGTGACCTTATTTTCTCAGAACTTGTAAGTCTTTTGGCACTCTCCCATCCACAGCCGGATTTTCCGGCACCCGAGCTGCCCAGCGAAGTCGAGTAACTAAGGAAGGGAAAAAGAACCCATATCTTTTCACCAGACAATAGGTGAACATCTCCTCATGAATCACCTGTGCCACGTCAAAGTTGTGGCCAATCATAAGCACCAAATCAGAGCTGCCGGAGGACCGTTCACCTCCGTTGTGTTGAAAGACGGGATTAGGCAGTTGTTGATAACATACAACCAGCACTTCCCTTCAAAGGTTAGCGTCGCGGAGTGAAACTTCTGACCATACTTTATCCATATAATTTCCTTGCCGGGTACACAGATTGTTGGAAAGATTATCTCCCACTATATGTGATCTACCATACATTTCATATCCATCTTCATACGGATCCGCGGATCAGGCAGCTGGTATATCCTCCGTATAGCCTTAATAGAGGCATCCACCGCCTTTCTGCGCACTGTTATTACGCCATTCACATGTTCTTTTACATTGGCGTAGAATTCACGGACAACCATCATATTTCCCTTGTCCGGCTCTTCAAAGAATATTTGGAGTCCCCGCCTTACCAGCTCATTATACAAGTTAGGGTAGCCCAGTTGGAGCGACCCTATATCCATTCCCCTTTCTGGTATCGGTTTCTTAGGGGCCTTATTCGCAAAGTGGTCCTGAGCCTTGGCAGAGACGAACCTACTACTATCAAAGGGACGAGCAACAGCTGACCCGCGTGCCCTGGACAATCCAGTTTGACTGTTGGAAGAAGCACCTGTGGTGCGGTATTTCCTAGATGGAGCCATAGTACCTGGAAAAGGAATAGCATTAGCACAACCCAAAAAACAATTCGTGACTCAATGCGGTTACTTAGACTTCGCACGCACCATTGGTCACAATTACCCATTTATACTCACTCTGGCATTTAAACAAACACCTTGTGGGCATTATATACCCACACCCCAATTCAAATATGCTGTACCCCGACACCACCACAATTTCCCCAAAAGCACCCACTACGTTAAGAGACATAATCCACCAACATCACCACCCACAAACACTACACACACACTACAAATTTCTACTAAGAAAAGAAAATCAAAAGCTACTACATAATTAAAAAAAATAAAAACAAAAATCTGAAGAAAAGAAAAGAAAATTGGAAAAAAGAGAAACCTTACCTATAGTGAGAGAAGATGGTTAGAAGTGAAGAAGAGTAAGGGAAGGTTGGGCTTGAGCCTTGGGAAGTTTGGGAATGGAGAAGAGGGAATTTGTTTGAAGAAGAAGGGAGTTAGGGTTGGGCATTTTTGAGCATGGGGGATTTTAGGAGTGAAGAAGAGGGGAGTAATTAGAGTGGGGGGGGG